TTTGAAATGATACTCATTTTGAAACAAATATAATGTGATTCATTATCAGTTATATGCACCACACGAGTTGTGTACTAATTTTAAATAGACATTTTTATGTAATTTTATACAATTTAAACTTTATATAACATTTTCAATAAATTAAAATCTATAATTGTATTACATATTTATTCTATATTTTTATTTTATTAATATTAATTAATAAGAATTTGTAATTTATAAATATTAGTGAATATCTTTTACCGTGCACTACACGTGACTCATACTAGTTTGCAGAGAAAAAAAAAAAGATAGAAATAAATAGAACTTTATTTTATTTTATTTTATTTTTGTTTCATGTCCGAGAATTGAACTCTTGACTGATGACAGTCAAAAACTGAAAAAAATCTTGACACCATTAAAGACTGACTATCTGCGCCTATATATGCCAACCCCAGTTACGTTCTTCTTACTCCCAACCGAGTTAACACACAGTCTCTGCGCGCCTCGGTCGACTCTTAACTCAATAAGCATATATCAAGTACTTACTTGTATATTGATAGGCACTACACATCACCATGTGTTTCTTGTATAATAGTTTATATATTTTAACATATGTTGTATCAGTTTCTTCATTGGTTTTACACTGAGTTTTTGTATATATGAAGGTTTGAGGAGCTAAAATGGCCGAATACCGTTCGCGTTGTATCTCGATTTTGCTGTTCTGTTGCTGGGTAGCAGTGTCAGACGCCGGTTACGCGCTATATCAAGATTCCAAACAGCCCGTCTCCAAGAGAGTCGAGGATCTTTTGAGCAGGATGAGCTTGGCGGAAAAAGTCGGGCAGATGACACAAATTGAACGACAAGTAGCATCAGCTCATGTTATGAAGAAGTATTTCATAGGTAAATTAATTTGAATGAAGATTAATATGTTTCCCTTTATATAACAAGTCTCTTCATGTTGTATGATAAATAATGAGGAAAAGGCATATGATCATATGAATTTGGCTGCTCTAGATCAACCGAACGTTATTTCGACAACAACAGATCGACTTCTTAAAGCCGAATAAATCTTGTCCTACTTTTCGAATAATGTGCCTAATTTTGTGAAGTTACATTGAGTTTTGCAGGCAGTGTATTAAGTGGTGGAGGTAGTGCCCCGGCCCCACAAGCGTCCGCTGAGAAGTGGATCGACATGGTTAACCATTTTCAGAACGGTTCGTTATCTACACCTCACAAGATACCAATGGTGTATGGGATTGATGCCATCCATGGACACAACAATGTCTATAAAGCTACAATTTTTCCTCATAATATTGGTCTTGGAGCTACTAGGCAACTACTATATTCTCTTTTTCCTTAATCCTTAATTTTCACCTTCGTATTCTTTTCGTTTTTCCAAGTCGGTTTTCGGTTTGTGCAGAGATCCTCAACTGGTGAAAAGAATAGGTAGTGCGACGGCTCTTGAAGTCAGAGCTACAGGCATTCAATATGCTTTTGCGCCTTGCATTGCGGTACTAAACTGGCGGCCTTATTAATTAATTTTGTAGAATAATCTATCGCACCTTAAAATAACAATGGTATGTAAATTTTCTTTCATTCACACACATATATATATATATGAAGGTTTGTAGAGATCCAAGATGGGGCCGTTGTTACGAAAGCTACAGTGAGGATCCGAAGTTGGTTGAAGCCATGACAGAACTCATACCCGGATTGCAAGGCGATATACCTTCGAATTCTCCCAAAGGTGTCCCTTTTGTTGATGGCCAGTAAGTTATACAATATGGTCACAT